CAAGTGTCCAAGGCCAGGCTGGATGAGGCTTGGAGCAACCTGGTCTAGTGCAAGGTGTCCCTGCCCATGGCAGGGGGTGGGACTAGGTGAGCTTTAAGGTCCCATCCAACCCAAACAATTCTATGATTCTATGTGTTACAGACAGGTGCTGTCTGTCAGTATGATGATCACAAGCAGTCACCCTTCCTGGCCTGCCAATAAATTATCTCGTTTCACTGTCATTTAGGGAGAGATTTATAGGAAAATAATTTTACTTGAGATTAAACCAAAAGCTATTGTGCTTGTGAATACAGACAGACCACTTCTTTTTTTATTATTATAATATCTCATACTAATCATTTAATCCCAAGCATCATTCATTGTGTATATCCACACAAGGTAATTTTAATGATTTCTGCACTCCCACATCATAAGAGAGGGAAGACAGAAAGAAAGATCTGGTACTAACATGAGCATGGTTGCCAGGTTACTTACCGAAGCAAAATCTAACAAGACCACATAACTAAACATATCAGCACTTGCTATTGATGAGTTTGCCTTATCTCCTGAGATCTACACATGCTTACACTTTGACTAGCTGTGTTCATTAAGTACATACACAGAAAGCTTGAGACCTATTAACCCCCTCTGTGGAGATTAATATTGTTTGTGTGTCATTTACACTGACTTTGTCTATTATACAAAATGCAGAAATTTACAGGTCCAAGGTCTGAATACTGCAATGGTCCCACCTGTCAATGACCTGATGTAAGACTTTGTAAATATATTCTGGTGTGTAACAATACACATCTGATGACCAAGTAGGTTAAATTGTCAAGAGAAGCAATTAGCCATAGCACTCGCAGTAAAGCTAATAGAGGTGGTGTGCTTTGTTTCACTACAGAGCTCTGAAAACATTACCCCAAGTGAAAAATACTCTATTGTCATAGAAAACCACATGCACACATATCTTTCTTTTCCTAAATCTCCCAAGGGAGTTGTTCCAATTGATACTAAGTACCATCATGATTGTAATCTATTTACTGTGATGATTATTGTTATCATTGTTATTGCTTTAGGTAATTCTAGGAATTCTACTTCCTCCTTCAATCCTCAGCTTGGAGTTCAAGAACAAAGATGATATGCCTTACATGTCCCAGGCCAACGAGATCCATCTTCAAGAGAAGGAGCCAGAGGAAGCAGAGAAGCCAGTAAAAGAAAAAGAGGAGGAGGACATGGAACTCACTGTAAGTGCCAACAATAAACCACCAGCTTCAGTGCTGTAAATTTATTATTCCCCCTTCTGTGGCCATTGCAGTCTGCCTGATGGCTAAATTTAGCAGATGATAGGATACCACTCTTACCACTCCCCTCTCCTTGTTGGAACTCAAACCAGACAAATTGGTATAATTGTGTCTCACAGAATCACAGAATGGTCAGGGTTGGAAGGGACCTCTGGAGATCATCTAGTCCAACC